CTGAGAATACGCCCCCAAAGCTCTTCAGAGATCCTCTTCCCCAAATACTCCTCCCAAAGACACTTCCCTTCACAGAATTCAGAGAGGTTGAAGAAGAGCATGTAGAGGTGTGTCATCAGGCAAGTTGGAGAACTGGGCAAATTTATTGTGAACAAAAGTGGGAATTTGCAGGTATCTAAAAAAAAATTATGTCCAGGAAGAGACATATAAATCCATAAAGGGATAGTGCACCCAAAAATGAAAATTCAGCCATTATCTACTCACCCTCATGCTGAGGAAGGCCCTGGTGAAGTTTAGAGTCCTCACATCCCTTGCGGAGATCGGCGGGGGGAGCGGCTAGCACACCTACAGTAATGGCAGACGGCGCCCCAGACTAATGTCCAACAGAGCTAAAAGATAATTTGCACTACGGTCTTTTAGCAAAGGACAGCCCAACATGTCTGAAGACTTTGAAATTGAGGAGGAACAGCATTTCTTTGTTGAGCCATATTTGTTAGACGTCTCAGGCTACTGGACGAAGCAGCCGCCGCAGCTCATGAGCCTAACCCTCAGCCAGCCGCAGAATACCGGAGTCGAGCACTGGAAACCTGGTGGTGTAGTTGTTTTAAATGCAAAGCAATGCCAACGGATGAGGAAAGTCTTTGCTGCTCAGACTGGGAATTGGCGATGCCTGCACTTGAGAATCTGGACATCAGTACTGACGAGACTGCTGCTCTTCAGAGACCGTGCATCACCGATCACCCTGAGCGCGCACACGTGAGCGCGGAGCACAGAGAAACAGTCAGAGCTACAGGCTACAGTGAGGCTAAAAACAGAGTTCATATGACGTTTTTTGAAACAACTTTTTATGTCGCGGCTGCAGCACACTTGGATCACTACGGATGAGCAGTATGGAGATACTTTGTGGATTCAATTTTGTGTTCTTGGACGTTAGTCTGGGGCGCCGTCAGCCATTAGGTGTGCTGGCTGGTCCCCCCACCGATCTCCGCAAGGGATGTGAGGACTCTAAAACTTCACCAGGGCCTCCATTGGCATATGGGTGAGTAGATAATGGCTGAATTTTCATTTTTGGGTGCACTATCCCTTTAAATTGCTTAATTCCAAGGTTGGACCACTGGTAAAATGCACCATCTGATAACGAGGGAGGAAAAGTGTGATTTGCAGCCAGTGAAGCAGAGGTAGACCAAAGATGTTCCTTTTACAATGATAGAAACAGGGTTCATGAAATTCCTGATAAAGTATTGACGTTAGAAAAACTGTTTTCCAGGCCTGGAAATGATTTGGAATTAACAGACCTTGTAGTAGAAGTTTTGAATATACGTTGTTGTGGCTTTTGTTTAAAATATGTTAAAAAAAATCCAAAGACATTAACAACATTACACAAAATACATTCCTGGTATTACTAATTTAAAATTACTAATTTAAAATCTGACTCAAAATGTCACTAGTATCACATGTTTGGCGTATTCATCTAGTTGGAGGCAGAACAGTCTAATGAGCGGGTAAAGTTAGTGAGCCTCCGCCATCCACAAATCCCTGAGAAGTGTGTTTTTAATAACATATTGCTTTTGAATGACAAATATAATACATGACTTAAAAGAGAGGCAGACCTGAGTCACACTGGATGTAGGCTCTGCACCAAAATGTATAAAATGGGCATCATGGGAGAAACGGCTCTGAAGCTCTGATCAGCCATGTTTAACTTAGTGTAGATAATTTCGGACATTTTCCAACTTCTAAAACTCAAATATACTTGTAGATAGACTAATAAACAAACAAACAAAACCAACACCTACCCTTTAAATTTTACAGAGCAATGAGAAACTGACAGGAAGTAAATATATTTACATTAAACAGGACTGTTGTCTGCTCAAATATACCAAACACATTTCATGTGTTGAAGGGAAAAGGCATCAAGACAACCCAAAGGCCTCTCAGCAGACTTAGAGTGTCAGCACATATTTCATGGCTGCTGTAACCAGGCCAGATAATGTTACCTCTTTGTGTCTGCTGTATGTGAAGGCACCAAGGCTTTCCATTCAATATTTCATGCTACATTTTTGCTACAATGCCTGTCTCAGCACACTGGAGGAAGAGCCTTGTTATTACGCCCTGTGATCTCTATATAGGCCTAATGCTACCTATTAAAAGCTACATTAATAAAGCCATGGAAATGGGGTAAAATATGACAGAAAAGTTGTGGAAATGTTTTGAAATTCCCAGGTTTGAGAAGTTGAAACAAGGGAATGATTTGGATTTTCCCCAACCCTTGAGGACCCTTTAGGGACAAAAGTGTACATTCTGCTTATTTTATATTTTTGATTCTCAATATATATGTCAGTTTAAAAAGATAAAGGCTTAAAACACACTTTATTTTTCTTACTGTCAACAAATCCAGTTAAAAGACCAAAAACAATGATCTGGTCACGCCAACAATTATTGTCTGAGTATCCAGAGCATTATATATCGTTATCCTCTGTGCTTTAGAGCTCTGTTGTCATCCAAAATCAAAAACACATCATCAAAGATGATAAAGGTGTAATGAAATCATTCACAGCACTGGAACAGCAGTTTGGTCTCCATCAGCAGCATTTTTGGAGATATCTTCAAATTAGAGATCTCCTAACATTCGGGTCCACTACGACTTCCTGCCAAGCTCTGACATTCATCTAATGTGGTTAGAATATTTGGTGCTGGCCATAAGGCATTAAAGTACTACTCCATGTTGCGTAAAAGGTTTGGCAATCAGGTCTCTAATCTGAAGTCCGCCTGGGAGAATGATCTTAACCTAACATTCACAGAGCAGGAATGAAACATTTAAATGTTTTAAGAACTGTGAGAAAACATCACAGGAACTTTAAACGAGACTAGTGCAGTTTAATATAGTAAACAGGGTAAACTAGTTCCCCCTCAAGATTATATAGGGTGAAATTAAGAGACAGCCCTAATTGCTGGAGGTGTGGGGAGAGTGTTGGTACACTCCTCCACATGTTGTAGTCCTGTCTCGATTTACAAAGTTCTGGTCTGCCGTACATGAGACTATCAAAATTATCCTTAAATTAGACGTCTCATCCTGCCCAAGCTTGTTTGTCCTGGGTGATCCTGTCCCTCTGAAACCCCTGCCTGTAAATTGGCAAACTGGGTCCAGACATCCCTCATGTTGGGGAGAAAACTTATCATACCACAATGGAAGTCGATCAGCTTACTGCCAGCCAGGAGGTTGTTCTCCCAACTCGGTACTGTGGCTGCACACGAGGGCGTCTCCTTGAGGCTCATTTTTTCTGTTAAAAATAATGATTATATAAAAAAGAAAACGCATCAATGAGCCAAGCTGTTGCACTGGGTGGCATGCCCCTTGATACAATAAACGCACACTGTACTTTATTTAAACTCAGTCCCACATACACCGTCCTGCTGCTGGAAATACTCAAGAGAGCACCAAATGTAGATCAATCCACAGCTGAAAATAGTCCCCAACATGCTGTATATGCACCAGTAAAAGCGCTAATGTCCATCTGTTTTAGGGAATGCCTGAGTTGCTTTTAAAACTGATATACTGTTACATATTTGCCGAGTAGTTCAGGAGAGCCACTGACAGTGTAGGGAAGTCTGAATTAAAAGTGGTTGTATTTTGGCTCAAATTTTAATCTGATTTGTGCTTAATTATTGCTGCAGTTTGGATTTCTTTCCTAGAGGGAATTACATGAGAAAACTGACCCAAGTCTTGCTGTCTTTGTATATATTGTAAGCGAGAAGAATTGTTATTGTATTATTCATTATGGTATTGAAATAAGTTTGTTTGAGACAGGCTTAGTTTTCAGTGCCTCACATTCAAAAAGTCACATCATGTAGTATCTCTACGAGAGGAGCTCATAAAGGCGCACTGATACAACAGTTAAACTTTTAACCCTCTATTCCCTGTGTAGATATTGTTAAGAATCGTTGTGTTTTGTTTCCATAGGATGAGCAGTTTATATCTAAATAGGAAGCGTGTCCTCGTTTACTGAGATTGTCACGTTGCACCGTCATGTTTCTTCAGTGGCCCAGGACAGACAAACCAAACACCAGGTCTAGATAAGGGCCATTTGCGACCGTAGTTAGCAGCCTGTCCATGAAGAGCAGTGTCGGAAAACATGTCAAATTAGAGACTGAGATTGTATTGGAAAAATCAGATTTCTGTCATCACACTACTCTGAAAAGATCAGATATGTGTCACATAAGAGCAAAACAATCGTATTTTGGCCACATTTGCTTGTGATTTTAACAAAGCTTATGTCTTCACCAATAAAAAAACCCAAATCCCCATGTCCATTTCCCAGAGCACCAGTGTCCTCAGTGCTGGTTCAGGATGATTAGAGAGGAGAAAATAGCACCTTCTCCGAGAGGCAGTGAGTCAGCAAAACACAACGCCGACTCACAAGTCAAATTCTCTGTAATTTTCAGGAATGATTGTCAGTCTTTGTCCGCTGTGGAAGTCCTTGAAACACTGGATGACAGTTCATACAGACATCAGACATCTATCAAACAAAATAAAATCCATCGTGTTAGCACGGAGCTTACTGGAGACTTTTAAACCTTTTACTTTTCTTATCTCTCTGCAGTCATAATCTGTTAATTGTGGCAGTATTAGCACTGACCTAAGCTGTAATGCGAGGGGTGCAGCTGACTGCATACGAGCAGATTCCCTTTGAAAAACCAGCCTGAATGTATGCTTTCATCCTACCTCTATCCTGCGCTCATACATTATTAATCCTTGAGTGTTAGGCAGTTGAGATTTCCATATTATAATACAAAGCTTCTGTGTCTGCGGCACTTGAATTACCAGACTGTTCTTTGTAACCTCGGCAGAGTTTTTCTAATAGTTGATCCCAGGGATGGAGACTGCTGCAGTAATTCTCCTTTACAATAACTACACATGTAAGCTGACAACATGTTTTGTATCTGTTACGGCTGTTCCCCCAGATAACAGTCATTTATCTGTCCTCTGTTGTCCTGCGCAGGTGCCTGTTTCTGCCCAGCCTGGCGCCCCACAATGCTCCCACCAACAACACCAACGCCTCAGGTGTCAGCGACGGAGCCGTGCTGAGCGGGATGGGAACAGGTGAGTGGTTTTCATTGCACTAGGTTAATGTAGCACAGTGGTTAATAACTTATTCTCTACAGTTCACCTTGAAGTACAGAGACGTAATGACGACTTGCAGGACTAGTTGGTGAACTAACAGAGAACATGTAAAGCCCATTTCAGACCAAAGATTCTTGATGAGACGAAACCATTTTAGAACGTTGCAGAGAAAAGTTGAAGAGGTGTGAACTGACCGTCTGAGCTCGACTCAAGCCGGTTGATGGTGTCACCTGCAACTCTGCTGGTCAAATCACTAGTGGCTGGTTTAAGAACATGATGCATGTCACCTGTTTCTACAGCAGATCAGCTTGTGGTGAAGTCAAAATGACCGAAGACTGTCCTCATTCATATTTTAAGAAGCTGCAAATTGTATTCAGCCACAAAATACGCCTGAAAAGCTGCAAATCAGAACGGAAGTACAGAGAGTTGTTGCATAGAGATGATACACTGTCTAATCTAGTTGCATTGGTGTGAATCAGCAGGTTTTTAGAATGTTGCAGAACGGCACATTGGAAGTAGTTGCCTGTTTGAGCTTGTCTCCTCGCGAATCTTTGGTCTGAACTGGGTTTAAAGGGATAGTGTACCCAAAATATCCATATGCCGATGGAGGCCCTGGTGAAGTTTTAGAGTCCACACATCCCTTGCGGAGATCGGCGGGGGGAGCGGCTAGCACACCTAATGGCTGACGGCGCCCCAGACTAACGTCCAAGAACACAAAATTGAAATATCTCCATACTGCTCATCCGTAGTGATCCAAGTGTGCTGCAGCCCCGACATAAAAAGTTGTTTTGAAAAACATCATATAAACTCTGTTTTTAGCCTCACTGTAGCCTGTAGCTCTGACTGCTTCTCTGTGCTCCGCGCTCACATGTGCGCGCTCAAGATGATTGGTGATGCACGGTCTCTGAAGAGCAGCAGTCTTGTCAGTACTGATGTTCAGATTCTCAAGTGCAGGCATCGCCAATTCCCAGTCTGAGCAGCACAGACTTTCCTCATCCGTTGGCATTGCTTTGCATTTGAAACAACTACACCACCAGATTTCACAGAGAGGCAGTCAGAGCTACAGGCTACAGTGAGGCTAAAAACAGAGTTCATATGACGTTTTTTGAAACAACTTTTTATGTCGTGGCTGCAGCACACTTGGATGACTATGGATGAGCAGTATGGAGATACTTTGTGGATTCAATTTTGTGTTCTTGGACGTTAGTCTGGGGCGCCGGCTGCCATTAGGTGTGCTAGCCGCTCCCCCCGCCGATCTCCGCAAGGGATGTGAGGACTCTAAAACTTCACCAGGGCCTCTGTTGGCATATGGGTGAGTAGATAATGGCTGAATTTTCATTTTTGGGTGCACTATCCCTTTAAGATGTTTAGGGACACATGAGCATTAGCCAACCACAATAACCCACCAAGCTAGCTCCACTGCTAGCCAAATAGAAGCATTCACACAAAGACGTAATTAAACTACAAACCCTGCCATGTGAGATGTTTATATTTTGGTGATGCTGGGTTGTTGCTTTTTTTTAAGGTTACTTTGGGGCTGTTTTGCCTTTATTAGGTAGGACAGTTAAAGATACTATCGAGATAATATTGAGTTGATTCATCGTGATAAGCAATGGGTGGTGCTAATTCTCCAATCAGGTGCCAATATACTGCTGCAGAAGAAGAAGGTGAAATGAAGGAAAACAACTGATGTATAATAACAGAGAGCACATAGGACAATGGAAATAGAGAGTTTTGAACAACTTGTATTACAGCTACATGCTCTTGTTAGAGTTCTGCTAACAGCCCTGTGTGCAGACATATGCAATGGCGGTACATCATTATTTATTCGCAGAATATGTTTTCAGTGCGCTCAGTTGCATTTACCTTATATTGACAAAATAACTTCTCCACCTCCCTCAAACACATAGAAACAGGTTGATGGAAACGCACCTAACAGCAGGTTTATACCCACAGTCTACACTTTGTGTGCCAGTGTGTGAGCAAACAGGTCAAATTAAACTCAATGGCAATTTTTTCTCTGATGAATATCTTTGTAGACATCCTCCCGAGACCCTGTGTCCTCATGTGAGGACATCACATTTTGGGTTTTCTTGACGTTATACTTCACTCTGCTTAACTCAGACCTGTTGTCCTCGTTCGTGGACACATTTTGTGCCATCTAGTGGTAGTAAGAGCACAATACACTAATCCATGTAAAAACAAGATGGCAGCCATCTCTGCCAAGTCAGTCTGCAGCCGATCCCGACACAAAAGTGGACAAGTTCCAAGACCTGATGACATCTAATGGTTGAATCTTGTTTATTTATGATTAATAATGTTTGTAGTTTGATATGGCAAAAAATTTGACCAATTTTAGCAACAGTACTTGTTGGCAGACATTGGGACTTTATTATCATCTAGTTTGAGGACATTTGGACTCTATTGTCGTCTTGTTTGAGGACATTGGGACTTTATTATTGTTGACAATGTTTAGTTTTTTATACTTAGCGGTTCCTACTGATCCCAAATAGCCAAGAGAAATTGAAAATGCGTACCAAACAAAAGTCCTTGTCTCAGGAGGATATATGTAGTTGAACCCTTCAGAAGATGTGTTTGAATCCAAATGCTTTATACCTTAAAATAGGAAACATTCAGTCTATCCAGTGTTATTTCAATATAACACACAAGAGGAAACTATTAGAAGCAATTTGAGTTGATGTTTAGCAGTGACTTGGTGTCAGATTGTAGGCCCACTTTATTTGGCTCTTCATTTTCCTCAAACAGGAGAACAGTGCAGCACCATGGGAAAGTATTTTAATACCAGGGTGGGATTTAACCACCAACCAATGGCCAATGTCTGGTACATATTTGTCACTTTTACCAGCCAGTTTGGCAGGCGACAAACTGACAGTTGGCAAAATTAGTTTTGTCTCGTCCCCGTGGTATCACCATGTTCCATCGTTGTTTCAGAAGTGATCGAGGTATAAAAACTTTTCTTTACTGGAGCAGTGAAAGAGCAGGAATAGATTCTGTTTGAAGCCTGCTGCACATCCCACCTGTTGTTAATCTTAACTCACTGAAACACACACACATGAAACACATCAACTCCCTCTTTGAACACTAACATGCACATTTTGCCCCATTTCTTAATTTTTTTACTGCAACCACTCCCATCCTTATGTCAGCTTGTTAGCGGTGTTGTCTTTGTGCACCATCTTCCACATCACTTCCTTTTGTTTTCCCCAGTTCAACTGCGTTCCTCTTGATTCCCACTTCCTTTCATCTTCTTTTTGAATCTCTCAGGATTTTTTCATCTTACCCACAAAGAGTGTATCTTTTCTGATGTTCTCTGTTTTCATCATCTGTGTGTGTGAAAGAAAAATCTACAACACCTAAAACCCAAACAGCCCAACCCAAAAGACCTGAAGGCAGAGATAAAATTAATCTGTGACGTTACGGTTGAGTTTCTGGTCTATAGCCTCATTTAGTATTTATGAAGCAAGGCGAGACTCCTCTCCTCTCCTCTCCTCTCCCAGCCGATCCTATCCTATCCTACTCTATGCTGTGCTATCCTATCCTATCCTATGCTATCCTATGCTATCCTATCCTATCCTATCCCACTCTATCCCAGCCTATCACAGCCTATCCTATGCTATCCTATGCTATCCTATCCCATTCTATCCCAGCCTATCCTATCCTATCCTATCCTATTCTATGCTGTGCTTTCCTTTCCTTTCCTTTCCTTTCCTTTCCTTTCCTTTCCTGTCATATCCCATCCCACCCAATCCCAGCCTATCCTATCCTATCCCATCCTATCCTATCCTATGCCATCCTATGCCATCCTATCCTATCCTATGCTATCCTATCCTGTCCTATCCTATCCCATCCTATCCTATCCTATCCCATCCTATCCTATCCCATCCTATCCCAGCCTATCCTATCCTACGCCATCCTATCCTATGCTATCCTATGATATCCTATCCTATGCTATCTTATCCTATCCCATCCTATCCTATCCTATCCTATCCTATCCCAGCCTATCCTGTCCTATCCTATCCTATCCTATTCTATGCTGTGCTATCCTATCCTATCCTTTCCTTTCCTTTCCTGTCATATCCCATCCCATCCCATCCCACCCAATCCCAGCCCAGCCCATCCTAGCCTAGCCTAGCCTAGCCTAGCCTAGCCTATCCTATCCTATCCTATCCTATCCTATCCTATCCTCTGCTATCCTATCCTATCCTATCCCATTCTATCCCGGCCTATCCCAGCCTATCCTATCCTATCCTATCATATCCTATCCCATCCTATCCTGTGCTATCTTATCCTATCCTAGCCTATCCTATGCTATCCTATGATGTCCTATCCTATCCTAGCTATCCTATCCTATCCCATCCGATCCTATCCTATGCTATCCTATCCTATCCTATCCTATGCTATCCTATTCTATCCTATCCTATGCTATCCTATCCCATCCTATCCTATCCTATCCCATCATATCCTATCCTATCCTATCCTATCCCATCCTATGCCATCCTATCCTATCCTATGTTATCCTATCCTATCCTATCCCATCCTATGCCATCCTATCCTATCCTATTCTATGTTATCCTATCCTATCCTATCCTATCCTATCCCAGCCTATGGCATCCTATCCTATGCTATCCTACGATATCCTATCCTATGCTATCTTATCCTATCCTATGCTATCGTATCCTATCCTATTCTATGCTGTGCTATCCTATCCTATCCTTTCCTTTCCTTTCCTTTCCTTTCCTTTCCTTTCCTTTCCTGTCATATCCCATCCCATCCCATCCCATCCCATCCCATCCCACCCAATCCCAGCCTATCCCAGCCTATCCCAGCCTATCCTATCCTATCCTATCCTATCCCATTCTGTCCCAGCCTATCCTATCCTATGCTATACTATACTATCCTATCCCATTCTATCCCGGCCTATCCCAGCCTATCCTATCCTATCCTATTCTATCCTATCCCAGCCTATCCTATGCTATCCTATGATGTCCTATCCTATCCTATCCTATCCTATCCTATCCTCTGCCATCCTATCCCATTCTATCCTATGCTATCCTATCCCATCCTATCCTATCCTATGCCATCCTATCCTATCCTATGCTATCCTATCCTATCCTATGCTATCCCATCCTATCCTATCCTATCCCATCCCATCCTATGCTATCCTATCCTATCCTATTCTATGCTATGCTATGCTATCCCATCCTATCCTATCCCATCCCATCCCATCCTATGCTATCCTATCCTATCCTATGCTATGCTATGCTATGCTATGCTATGCTATGCTATCCTATCCCACCCCATCCCATCCCATCCCATCCCATCCTATCCTATCCCATCCTATCCTATGCTATGCTATGCTATGCTATGCTAT